CTCGACCAGCCAGCGCTGTCTACTGCTTCATCTCATTCCATCCTTCATCAAAGGAAACCAGGAACTCGATTAGGCAGCAGAATACCCGACGGGAGGCTTGAGATCTACTCAAGCAGGGCCCTCTTTCAGTTTTCTTCAAACGTGGCCCAGGTGGACTTTTCTCGTATCGACCAAGAATCCAAAACTTTTGTCGCTTCTGCTCCGTCGTCATTACTGGCGGGGTGTCATCCTCTGCTCCTGGAGCTACTGGACCTCGCCAACTCCCGACGCGCTGCACTGGGCTGTCCAGACTCCTCCAGACCTTCGCTGTCACCTCCCTCCTTTTTTCCAACCAGCGCGCACCCGCCCACTCCAGGACTGAACCCCTCCTCCACCATTCCACAACCCCCACGATCATGTTCCTGTAACCTCGCTTTGCTGTCCTGAAGAGACGATCAACGCCTGACTCTCGTCTTTTGCGCACGATTCCCGACGACTTTACCATTGCTCTCGTTGATCGACTTTTCTGCTGGTCCGTCTCTCCCCCCTGCCGTAGGTCGCCAGCGAGGGCTTGTCCCGTTCGCTTTGTTTCCTTCGCCATCGGGACTGCGTCCGCATAGTATGGGTATGAGCGCATATCCCAGCCGGATATTGCCACCATGAGCTTCAACCTCCCTCTTCGCCCGAGCTCCAGCAGCATACGGAACCAGGCAAGCCGAAGCACCTACTTTAACAACTACACGCCTAGTTCCTCTACCGAAGCCATCAACGGTCCCCTCAGGGAACCTGCCAGGGAGCTCTTTGGCACCACCGATCGGCTGATTGTCGGCGTCGATTTCGGAACTACATTCTCAGGGTGAGTCGCATCCATCCCTATGCAGCCTCACTTTACTTTTCGAGCATCTCAAGTGTGACCCTTGGCCTGCCTGAGCCAACGCCAACTGTTGCACTCATTCTTGAACCCCTCACTCCTTTGATGCTCCATGCGCACCTGTCAAAGCATTGACGGTGTTGCCCGAGCCCTGTCCACATGGGATGACATGCTGACACTCACCGTAGCGTCGCTGCTGTTTACACTTCAACGCCAGACGATGTCGAAATCATCAAGACATGGCCGGGCGGGAACGGCATCACCTCCGACAAGGTGCCTACCGAGATCAGCTATGACGTTTCTGCGAATGCTGCCGCTGGCACCGATCCCACAGTGAAATGGGGATTCCAATTCAAGCCCGAGGAGGCACGTCTTCGTTGCATCAAGCTGTTCCTTGATCGCTCGCAAAAGCTACCCTTCTATGTCAGCCCGCTCGACACAGCGGCCCAACTGAAGCGCTACAACAAGAATGTTCTGGACGCTGTAAGCGACTATCTCACACAGGTGTATAAGCACACCATGGACACCCTCACTCGAAGATACGGCGAGTCTTTTATGCAGTCTACCAAAGTCGACTTTGTCTTGACCTGTCCCGCCGTGTGGTCCGATGCAGCGAAGAATACGACACTTCAGGCGGCTGAACGAGCTGGCATGGGGCTGAAATCAGAAATCCAGATGATCAGCGAGCCCGAAGCCGCGGCGGTGTACACATTAAAAGCCATCCAGCCCAACCATCTCAACGCTGGTGATAACTTTATCGTGTGTGATGCAGGTGGTGGAACTGTCGAGTAAGTTCAAGACGTAATCAGCGGTCGATCTCGGGAGCACGGCTAATGGTCGATCTAGTCTGATTGCGTACAAAATCATATCATTAAAACCGTTAAAGGTAGAAGAATCCGCCGTCGGTACCGGTGGTCTTTGCGGCAGCGCGTTCCTCAACTACAGATTTGAAGAACACGTCCGGCACAAACTGGGCCACAGCCGTTTCGACGAAATGAAGGTCAAGAAGAACAAAACATGGCAAATGGGCCTGAGGTATTTCGAGGAGTTTGTTAAACGCAACTTCAACGAGGACGAGCACCAGGAGGTGAACGTGCCGTAGGTCTATTCCTTGAAAGCTGAAAGTCGAGACATTGTGAGGAAATTTTCTAACTCGGTACAGATTCCCAGGCTTGCCTGACGACGAAGAGGCTGGTTTGGACTGTGGCTTCATGGTCATGTCGGCTGATGAAATAAAAGAAATATTTGCCCCTGTCGTGAAAGAAGTTTGCGACCTAGTCCAGGGCCAGGTCACTGGCATTCGTTCCAAGGGTGGTGTTGTGTCAGGCATCGTGCTGGTTGGTGGATTCGGGCAGAGCGACTACCTATACAGAAAGCTCAAGACACACTTCACAAGTGCCGCACCGCCTCCGTACACCGAAAGGCCAACGCATGGCAGCGTCACTGCACTACAGGAAACGAGCTCGATCGAGGTCATGCAGCCAGTGTACGCCTGGACGGCCGTCGTGCGAGGAGCGGTGCTGCGAGGACTCGAGGGCAACATGGTGATTTCGCGCAAGGCGCGGTACCACTACGGCACATCGTACGCAACCGTGTATGACGAGGAGAAACACTCGGTCAGTGAGCGATACTGGTCGCCGCTGTGGGAACGGTGGATGGTGTCGGACCGTATGCAGTGGCACATTGCAAAGGTAAGTTTGAACTGCCGTCCTTTACTTGGCTTCAGGAGACGAATACTGACGCGACCTTTTCAAACAGGGAGAGGCAATATCCCCGTTATCACCAATCGCATTCCATTATACCCGAAACTTCAGACCTGGGCAGTCGCTGCTGGTGACGGACGACCTGATTGCGTGCGAGGCAGACGAGCCGCCTGCCGCCTATACCCGTGATCTAATCCATGTGTGCACGTTGACGACCGACCTCAATGCCGTGCCCAGGAGCCTATTCACACGATTGACGACAACGCGTGGCGTGGAGTTCGACAACCTTGACTTTACACTCGAAATGATCGTCGACAGCGCCGGTCTAGGATTTGAGCTGAAGGTGGACGGTGTTAGGTACGGACGTGTCGATGCCGAGTTCCATTGAGCAATGGACGAACCATGGAGAGGTATCCGTGGACGGCGACGAAAGGACGGAGCGTGAACAGAGGGAAACCCAGGCAAAAGGCAGAGGCGAGGGTTCTCAAATAGGAATCTTGGGCCATAAAGTGAGTACGGGAGGGCAACCCATGCTTGTGGTCCTCCTCGGTATCTCGTCATATATACACACATAGTTCACGAGGATTCAGTCCCGAGAACACAACTCACTTTTTGTATCCCGCCAAGCAAGACAATACTTGTGCCACAGGGTTGACGCGTCTGATGAGTGCATAATGAGGCAGGGTGTCTGTCAAGGTGTGGGTGACAAGCGTTCCCGATTGGGGGTTGGATTTATAACAAAGTTGCGACGTTGATACAACTCGGTCTGGAGCGAGGCGATGTTCAAGTGAGGCGTACCGCGGTTCGCCCCGCATATTCAGGTGGGAGTTCCAACTCAACGGTTGTCTCGAACACCAAGCACTTTCAACTTTCTTCTTTTACATGTAAAAGACTACATTTCCGGCCCATCCATCCGATACAACACGAGAATATGTGACCCTGCCAAGCGAGATCCCTCACTGACTACGTCTGCTTCTTTTACGAACGAACGTACGAACGAAAATGACGGGGACGCGGGCACATCCCTCGTCCCAAGAATAATCGCCGTACGAGCCGAAGTGAGGCTGTGCAACGGTGCGTCTAAGTGGTTCAAAAAAACACGTCTCCGAGACTTTTCCAATTACCTACCTATGGTACCTTGGGTTGTTTTTTTTTTTGCCACGCCACACAGCCCTGCTTTCAAAAGTGACTGATGGCGAAAACGACGAATGCCTTGGAAATTTCATTTGGCGCAAAGAAGGTTGGTTCACGCAGCTCGCTATTGGCTCAACGGCGTCGAATTGGGTAAAAATCGTGAGGCGGAGGGCTGGCTGGCTGGAGTGGTTGCCTCGTGTCCTCGGCGATTTTTTGGATTCCTGATATAAGACGGGATGTGGGAGGCCCGCTAAATTACAGAACTGTAAGGTTTAGATCATTCATTCTCTCATCACCCATACAAATCCTGGAAATGGGCAGAGATTTCATTCATTCTGAATCTGAAAGCGACGGCGAGCAATGTAAGCCAAGTGCAGATTATGTAACATCTCGTACCTAATTTCGTTTTGTAGTTCGTCCGCTCTTACTGCCGCCGCTCCATGTTGCTGACTGCCTCGGAGTGGGGGAGCGTTCTGTTCCTTCCCTATTCGAAACGAAAAGCATGAAACGAAACCTAGAAGAGCAGCCCCTGCAGTCAAGTTGGGTGAGAAGTAGGAGTGTCCTCGACGATGACCCATCAGTCTTACGGGACGTAGCTGCCTGAAGCAAGAGTCATAAGACACTCGCGTCCGCTTGACAACTTATGATCGGATAACCTCTTCCTTTGCACAGCTGCAAAAGCATCGTAAGGCCATGCAAGACCAGAAAGAAGCCAATCTCGGCAGAAACCCTCACATACAATCCTCAAGGGAACAGTCTACGTCGAGCCACCAGAGGCCCGCGAGACACTAAAAGAGGGGACGATGCTCCCAGGATACCGAAAGACACTGACCCTATCCGCCTTGGTCTGCCACCCACTTGGGCCGCCATCTTGTTCACCAGCTCGAGCCGGTGACCAGGTGACCTTAGAGTCTGCCTCGCACCCGCAACTGGCCCTCAGCCTCGCACATGTCCTCGGACTCGCGTGTACAAGACTGAAGGGGTGCCCTCGGGGTAGTATAGCCCCATCTGCGGGTTCCTGCAGTACACAGCCTCCAGCAAGATATGAACAACCTTTGTGTAGAGTTCCCGACTAACCCGATCTTAGGAAACCTTACAAATAGATGAGAAAATCAGATGAACGGTCGTAACCGTACCCGTTGGCGGCAGAGGCTAATCGGAAAATCTGCCGTTTTCCCCGGCCCATGATCGACACCTTCGCCTCGGCCCGCTCCGGTATCAAAGCGCCAGCTACCCACATCTCCGGAATCCCTTGAGTCTTTGTAGTGACGACACTACATCAACAATAATACCATGACTGTGCTTGGTCGTCATCAGCGATGCCTCCCCTGGTTCCGCCTTCTTCTTCCATTTCCTGCAATAAGAACCTCTGCCTCTTCTCTGGGCGGCCTCCAACCCGATGGATACACATTCTGAGTACGAGGGCCTTCGCTGGCATTGATGGCTTGTTGGAAGCTCTGAGGAGGGATCATGTTATAACGATTCAAGTGTACGAGAAGGCTGAAGTCGGGTCGTCTTTGTTCGAATCGATATGCATCATGAAGCATATGGTGGGCGATGTGTCTCATCCTCTGGCTCCAGTTCTCGCCAGGATCAGGACAACGTTGACCAACTTTGAAGTCGAAGTCGTCACAAAACCAGCATACGCATGCCGCAGGATACGCACCTTTTAGGTGGATGTTCTCGGTGTGCCTGATCCACGAGTCGACATCATCGAGTCTGAACTGCTCTCGGCAACCAGTCCAGGGTCGAAACTCGCAGTAGAGCATGTTATTGCTGGGCGGAAGAGCAATCTGCTGCTGCACGATGCCCTGGTGAAAGGTGCTCATTGCGGAGTACTGTGACGGAGCTGGCGTATCGGAGTAGGCCTGAGGCATCCTGAACTCGTCGTATGGCATCAGACCACCCGCCGAATGAGTGTAGTGACTCTGATTGCCATGACTGCTCCCAGATACCTGTGGGGCTGACGAGGAGCTCGCATAGGAAGACAAGCTAGGAGTATATCGAGGAGTGTTGTTCCAAGAACCAGGCTGGGAGTACCCAGACCACGAGGACGAGTAGTATGGGTCATCAGGCCCCTGACCGTTGGACGGCATATTGTGCAAAGGTTACCGGTACCAAACAAGAAGTGCGGAGCACCTGCAACAAGACTTTGGGGAACGAATAGCTATTCGGACGACAGGACAGGGTGAAAGCAAGTCGCAAATGGGAATCCGCAGTTTGTTTCCAGCAGATGCGAGAATCGCGGAGCAAGATCGAGATGTCGAAGCTGAAAAGCGATATACACCGCAGAGGGATGGAAAGCTGACAGGCGACTTGGGTAGGTGGAGACGGTGTACTGCTAACAGCAGACGCAGAATGAGCGGGCGGTTGGTGGTCGCAGATGACTCTGCAGGTCAGTGACCTGCACTTCGATCTTTCGAGGAAAGACCGTACTACCCAACGACGACGAGAATGCAAACGTGGAAAAGTACAGTGTCCGCGCAAGGATGGACGGATACTTCAGGCGGGGAAGGTAGGTATACTAAAGCTGTGAGCGGTGGGATGGAAAGAGTTCACCTTCTTTGCTTTACTTCTAACGCATTGGGGACGCGTCAGATATTATACGATCAGAGTGTTCTTACATATACACAGTTGCTCGGGTATGGCACTTTCTCGACCGCACTCCATGCGAACCATGGCCGGCGGCGGCACGAGCCCACACACGTCCGAGACGGATAGATACAGCTCTCCACACCAATGCCAGTATCAACCCGTCCAATCGATCCCCTTTCGGCCAGAAAGAAGCATGTCAGCAAATGTCCTAAGTGGCATTGAGGCAGACATCCTTCCCTCGCGAGGAGGTTCGTCCTGAAAGGAGTCTGTTTCCAATGTCGTGTTCCGCCGCGCAGAAGATCGACGATCGTTTCAACGGAAGCGTCGAACCGGAGGTGGTGTCCGATCATATGCGCCTGTGGCAGCTCCAGCTCCGTAGGGCTATCATCATTGAGTGCAATGACCCTTGGGCTTGCAGCGCAATGTCGTACGGGACCGATTTACGTCGTTCCCGTCTACAGCTCAAATATCTGGTCTCTATGTTTCTCTTCTACATGGATACAATGGCGATAGCCACCCACTATGAGCTGTCCACGTGTACGCCCGCGGCATTAGAGACGAGAGGGGAGCGGGGGGCGCCTTCGCAGCAGACAAGGTTGCCAGAGCAAGCGAGTGCTGTACAGCGTGCTGCACAGCGTGCTGCAGTAACACGGCGGAATTGCCGGGAGTAGCCTGTGTTGCGAGCGAGTCCTGTACCTCAACAGGAGCTCCAGCAAATTATTCAAAGAAAAAAAGGGGGAACATTGATTTTCTTTGCAGAAACAGCAACGCCGAAGCAACATTCCTCGAATTGCAAAGAAGCCTGTTGCGTCAAGAGATGTGCCCCGAATACACTCATTTCCGCGGGGCGGCATCGACATGGAGTCAACTTGCCATTGGGGGCTAAATCTCGATAATGCAGTGAGTGCGGCACGACACATGGAAAGCATGGCGAGGATTTGCCATACAGCACGAGTGCGTCAACTGTCGAACCGTGCTGGAGGAAGAGCGGGGAATCCACTTGACCCGGAGAGAATCTTGCCCCAATAGCTCGCAGAGCCTCAATCCTTCCACTCTACCCATTTGAACTTGGTGTCTCTCTCCTCGGGAGGATCAGGTTAAGTCCGCAGGTTGATGGGATGAATTCCGTATCCGTAGGAGAGAGAGGGGGGGGGAAAGAAGGGAAGAGGCAGAGACGGAACCCCGCTCTTCTCACCCACCCCGGCCGACCACGCTGCAGGACGCTCGCCAGACTCCAGAGGGCTGCATATCTTGGGAAGTAAGTGGACATGGGGTATTGCAGTGAACACGATCTTTCGATTGGCCGACGTCACGACTTTCACGGCGTCGCCGAGTTCAACGTTGAATCCTCTTCGTTCGGTAGTTCTTGATGCAAGCAAGCAAGCTACTGCTGTAAAGCTTTGATGACGTTCATGATGGAACCTACTTACACAGTGTCGTAGCAAGGCTCGGTTGAGACCTCCCGTCCGCGCCGCGCGGGAAGGAGGATGGGGAAGGGTTCGTTCGTCTCTCCGCTTTGGTTTGTCGTCTGCAGGCTCATCATGTGGACGGGCCGCCGGCGATGGCTGACGAGAGTGGGATAAGCATTGATAAGTGATGCTGCGAAAAGAGGTAATGTGCAAATCTGACTTGCGTCCATGGTTTGATAGGGGTTCTGCGTCCTCAAGAACGGTATATCATGGGTAGGTATGAGGCACATGTGATATTTGAGATGCTCAGACAGGGTGCCAGGACCACGAGGCGCAAGGCAACCGTCTATGTTCGACGACAGTTTGGAAAAGAAAAAGTGAAAAGAATGGTAGTTTGAGCACCAGAACTGCGTCTTATTCGGGACTACATAGCACCCTAGCCTTGGCAATGACATTCTGATACTGCATGTGGCCCCCGTTCTCGTCCCCGCGCTTAATGATGCCGGGGAACGTGACGCACGCGATATCGCGCTGCGACAGCGCCTCCTCATCCTCACCGCCGATATCCTCCATGGTGGCGGCGTCGAACCTCGTCTGCTGATGCGGGACAATGTCGGGCATGTGGACCCGGAAGACAGCCTTTTGCACGGCGAGCTGCCGCGCGAGGTCCGCGGCGCTGCTGACTAGGGCGCGGAGACCGGCGTCGCGGGGGTTCGTGGTCTCTCCCGTGGCTGGTGGGGCCGGGACTGCGTCCGTGACAGCGTCGAGGATGCGGTTTACGCGGGCGATGACGCGGTCCGTTGCTGCCAACGTCTCGGCTTGCATTTTGGAGTCCGCTTCACGCTGGAGGAGGGCGAGTGTTGTGGAGCGCCAGTTGTTGATTGCTTCTGGCGAGTCGACTGTTATGTGGTGTTAGTAGCTAGCCGATTTTTTTTCGTTTGCCCTCTTGAGCTTCCAGAAATAAGGGGGTTAGGGGTAGGGGAGAAGGAGAAAGGATAAGGAGTATCACTCACCATAGCCTGAGAGGGTCTGCTCCACGGCCTTGAGCTGCTCGGCCTGCTCCTTGGGGAGGCCGAAGAAGTACGAGTTGAAGATTGTCTCGACGAGCACGCGCGAGACGACTGACTGCAGCATGTGAACCTTTGCCGAGGGCTCGAGGTCGGCGTACATGGGTACCAGCTGGCCGAGCTCCTCGAGCACGTCGTCGCTTGCTGCAGCAAAGTCTGTCATGTTTGTTAGTCTTCATTATACTCTCTTATCTTCTCTGAGGTGTATTCCGGAGTTTCGCCTGGGGGTATTCTCGCGGACGGATATAAGAAGAGAAACGTACCCAACTTTGCCCTCCGAAAGTTGACAATAACCCAATTCTGCAACCCGTTACTCAACCTCGCCATGCCATCGCAAAACACCTCATCAGAAGTCTGCCCGCTCGTCCGCGTGCTCGTGCTCACAAACTCCTTGAGCCCGCGCACCTGCACCCGCAGCTCGCCCACCTCGCGCCGCAGGGCGTCGCGGTCGGCGTCCCGGGCCTCGGACTCTTGCCTGAGGAGCCGCAGGTCGGCGTCGGCGCGGAGGAACTGCTGGTTGACGTCGCTGTGCTTCGCCTGCCAGAAGACAGCCGTCTCGCTCTCGTTTTGCGAGAGCTTGTCCAGCTCCTTGGTGAACTCGCGTTCCATGATTTCGAGCTCGCGTTCCAGGTGCGCTATGCGCGCGTCCTTATCTTTGATCTGGGCCGAGGAGGAGATGCCCCCGTGGCCGTGGCTGGTGGTGCCTGCGGTGCCAGCAGCGTTGCTGTTGTTGCTGTTGTTGCCCCCGCCGGAGGCTTCCTTGTGTCTTGAGTCCTTGTCCTTAGCATCTTTGCTGCTGCTCGAAGCCGTGGCCGCTGTGACACCGTCCTCAGGGTTCGGGCTCGCGGAGGAGGAGTTCGCGGGGCCGTGGTGAGCGCGGGGAGGCGGGGCGATGATGTTCGCGGTGCTGGTGCGCGGGTTCGAGGTGTGCAGGACGTGGTGGGCGTTTGACGACCCGCCTCCGCCGTGCTGGGACGACGAGGTTGGCGGCTTGGCCGAGGACGACGAGGGTCCGCCGGCAGCGTTACTATTCGAGGCGCTGCTGCTTCCGCCACCGCTGGTGTGTTCCTTGTTGTTGCTACTGCTGCTGCCGCCTGGGATGAAGGAGCGGCGCTTCTCCGCCGGTGTCGTGGACATCCGGCCGAGCTTTTTATCTTTCGTCATGGAGACGGCGGGGGAGGAGCATGCGACTGGCTTGGTACTGCATGATGGGGAGGTAAGACGATGAGTTTTGGGGCGTGGCGGGTTTTCGCTTATTCTTCTAACCCGCTCGCGATGAAGGGGAGGTCTGACGGGCCCTTTCGAATTCTTTTGGCCTGGCCCTCCTTCTCCTCCCCTTGGTTTTTCGGCCAACGCTGACCTTTCTCCTCGTTGATGACAGGTCTTGAGTGTGCGTACGCAGCTTCGGAAGGGGGGGTGGACTGGCGAGAGAAGTACGGAGTGGCGTTCGCTGGCTGCCTGGTTCTTGGCCTCTAGGCGAGGGGCAAACACACGAGCGCAAAGCGAAGCTTCTGGAGAGCTATTTGATCGGATATCGTCAAACAGAGGTACGTTGAGGCAAGGAACGGCAAGACGAGGCAATTAAGGTAGCCTTCCCGTGGAAGCTGGGTTTGGGACGTCGTCGCAAGTCGGTCCTTCTAGGATGTTAGGTCGACATTGGGGGCCGGCGAGGGTCCCTCCTGTCATTGGAAGGGGGGGGGGAGTCCCATAGTTCCCCGCCGGAGCGGTATTTTTAGCGGCCCGGCGCTTGTGGCCGCTCGGGGCTGAACCGTGGGGGCTGTGCGGTGCGGTGCGGTCGGCTGCCAGGGAGCCCTGGGGTTGGATGTGCGCGTTTATACAGGAACATAGGCTTTGTACTGAAGGGTTAGGTTATGTGAACCTTTGGGTCACATTTCCCTATACCTTACGAGTTGTTTCCACCATGTAACCCTTTCCTATCTGTCTATGCTGCCAAATTCCGTGTTCAATGGTCTCCGGCGATGGATCACTTGCTCCTAGCGATACCTTTCACAGTGTTGTCTTGAG